GTGTGTTAGGTATATATATATATATATATATATATATATATATATATATATATATATATATAAAAACTTCAAATTACAATTTTCCATTTTATTTTAAAATGTAATTTATTCCTGTGATGGCAAAGCTGAATTTACAGTAGCCAATACTCCAGTCTTGAGTGTCTCCTGATTCAGAAATCACTGTAATATGCTAATTTAGTGCTTAAGAAACATTTCGCATTATCAATGTTGAAAACAGTTGTGCTGCTTAATATTTTTGTAAATATATGAATATAAATATAAATTTAATGCATCCTTGCTGATTTAAAATATTAATTTTGAAAAGTAAAAAAAAAAAATCTTACTGACCTAAAACTTTTGAAGGGTAGTGTACAAAAGGAAGACAAAAGGCAAAGTGCACAAAACGAATGAAGAAAATGTCAGATGCAGAAATAAAGAGTATGAACTTTTAGAGTCATTCTCAATGTTATATGATACATGCTTTCATTGCAGAAGTCATTAGTATAGTATGCATGCATGGGTAACATTCAAGTAGGATGCAGGTTCTTTCTGATACTATAGTGTCTAACACATGCATTTGATCTCAACATGAACTGGCATGCAGAACGTCTCCTCTGTAATACCATGTAAGCTTTTGTCCACAACACCCCACCTATAATCAAACATCAGTCTCTTTCCAACTTCCCTTGTTCGATAAAGTTCATATGACAAAAATTCTACCAGTACCAGTCAAACGTCTAATGGAGAGACATACCAAACATCTCTCCACATGGATAAGCAACTCTATATTTTCAGTTTACTAAGCATTTTACATGCAAACACTGACCTGCATTCGCCAATTAAGTAAAAACAGAATGAAGCCAAGAAAAGTATCAACTGATAACTAAAAACTAAGAAAACACCTCTTACAATGAATCTTACAGACTCAGGATGACTCAAACTTCCCCAGAAAGACTGAAAAGTCCATAATCCAGGTACTCATGCTGCTGCTGTCCATATGAAGTCCATAATCCAGGTACTCATGCTGCTGTCCATATAAAGTTGCTATAAAACAACTAAATAGCAATCCTTGCATTAAATATGAAACTTGACTGTATGAGAAGCAGTGCTCACCTCTGATGATTGGGAGTTCTCATCTCAGCGACAGGTGCTTCCTGTAGCCCTGGACATATGTAGTCTCACCTGGGTGGGGCTAAAATGCTTGTAGCTCAATTTAAATGTTTCCAACTGGATTTAGTCCACACTAGCTGTACTTATAAAAGTCAAGAGTTGCAAAGAGGTTTTCTAACATTAGAAGTCTGTCAATATCACTTACTGAAGTGAAGAATCCTTTCAGCTAGGACTTTTCAGCTAGGACATTAGATATTTATAATTGAGTTGTGCATGTTTGCACACAATTAAAATGACTGGGTGGGAGACAGGAAGACTGACATTTAAACAACGATTTCTAAGAAATCTCATAGCGCTATGAAGTGAAGATGCAGGTCTATGGTATAATTCATAGTTGCTCTCTACAGCACCTTAATTACAAGCAAGAATCAAGACAAAACCTTTCATAGGGGGCAATTTACAAGGCTTTAGATGATGGATGTTTGGCGATAACATGCTTATTCAAGTTTGCCACTCCTTACGTCTACACATAGAAGTCTAAGAGAATGACCCAGGAAAGCCAAGGATGATAATTTTATAAAAACGAAAATGTTAGATAAATATTAAGATAAATTAAGATAAATAGGTAGGTCATATGTTACACACACAACTGGGAGCTGTTTGTGACACTGGAAAATGATCTTGTCACTGTTGTTTTGAAAGAAAGAGTCAAATTAGTGGCAATGTAAACTAACTGAAACTTTAATTTGCATCTCAAACATTGAGAGCACATATTCAATTTGATCTGAATCACACTATTGGAGCCCCACCCAAGAAGTTTGCATGTAAATGGAATAACATCCCAGCCGTCAATCCCTTATCCTAACACCGCATCTTCAAAAGACACCGTTTCTTTCATTTTGTGTTTTCTAGATTATAAATGAAAGAAGTGAGAGGTAAAGTAAGTGAGGATCAATTTAACATGTTTCACAGGCTAGACATGAAAAGACATGATTTCAAAACTTGCTAAGGTAACTGGAGGTCATTTCATGCCCATTGAACCATACTATCAGGATGTAAGTTCTCCAACAGTAGAACTGTAAAACTTTAGCTTCACAAAGTTTACGCTACTTTCTTTCTGTGCCAGTTTGATACATTATTCAAGCACAAAATATACAAACAAGCCTTCTATTCTTCATCCAGAAGGTTTTAAAATTCAGAATGTTCAGCATTACGAATTGGATTAAGCATTGAAGTTTCTCCATAGCACGAGTACAGGGCTTCCATTTATGATTCTTTCAGGGTAAAATGCAATACCTACTAGATTACAAGCACATGCAGAGTAAAACTTGAATTAAATCCCATCTTTGCAAAGTTTTACAACTTTAAAATATTGAAATGGGGCAAAATCTTTTTAAAAAGCCCTTTACAGAAGTAGGAAGAGCACAATTTTAATTTAGGTTGCTATTTTACTCTTTGGCCTTATTATGAATGGACTTATTGGACACTTCTTACGTCATACTCACATGCCTACACCTCAAAACCATCTCGTTGAAACAAAGCCCAGTCAGTAAGGATAGCAGTGCTGTCACAGCTGGGCTAAATCCCAAGGCTGCAAGGACCATAAAGAGTCTACTGTTTGTCTTTGACCCAATGAGGGCTGACTGATGGACCAGCTGTGGATTTCTGTATGCAACAAGTTCAAGATCAGAGCCATTAGCACTGGAATAGTTTCACTGACACACCGACAGAGTCTCAGCCAGGACTGTTGGCACTGGTATCATTTCCATTACAAAGGGAAGAGTTGTCTGATTTAGTTTCAAACATGCCCAGGAGTATCATGATAATCATAACAAAAATAAATTACTTTAAAAGTGCAGAGTGATATTCAATAAGCACATTCAAATTATGTATTATCTTTTTACTCTTAACAACTTGCAAGGCAATGGAAAAATAGCAATACAGCACTCACCTTGTACTATTCTTATCCTGTTCGCAGAGATTTGTCTCAGGTTTGGAATAGTCAGCTGACTGCTTTTCTTGAACTGGAAGTTTCTGGGAGGAATATAATACATATAAAACTTAACTTCCTCGTTCAGGTATTAACATATCTCAACTACTGTTTACTTCGGCTAATTTGAGACTATTGTTTTTTGTAATTATGGTCTTATTCGGTTGACATGATTGTGTGATCTTACTTGCAACTTTCCTGGTCTGAGGGTGTGACTTTTTGTACTTAGTTTAATGTTTGACTAAGTTCTGGCCTTTATATTGCTATCATTGCTATTCACTGGGGATATAAAGTATATGAGACTCATGTCACTTTTGATTTATGATGGTTTCTAAATAAAAACAGTACATGTTTTGAAAACAGTTTACACCAATTAGAACAATAACAATGAAATTAAATCACTGAAAACTGAGAAACTTAATTAAATATGAAATAACCAACCTGCCCATAGAAGTCAGCAGAAGGGGAGGATCTAGATCTTTCATGCACACAGGTGGGTTTACTCGGTCTCTCATTCCCTGTATCAAGGATGTTATCAGCGGAGTGATATCGTCCAGATACCCTTGGTTCGGCTGCTTTCCTCTGGATGTTCCATTTGGCCTCATACTCCGCAAAGGTGCCAAGTCGCTGTTGTTCTAGCATGGCTTGCTGGTTCACCGAGTGAGGGCCATCCTGACCTTCGTTAAGGTGGTGTTCTATGGGGGTTGAGCTTTCACTATTACTCTGCCCTGCTGTGTCACTCCTTGCAGAATAATGCATGCCTCCAGACTTGGACAGTCTCGTGTCTTCAGATATCTGCAGGTTTTGCTTTGGCATAGGTTTAGGGAAAGCTGGTTTCCCCGCTGCCTCAAATAATCTGTGCCGATTTTCTAAGGGTGCAGCATTATCAGGCACACTGGAGCGCTCATTAGCTCCTACTTCATGAATATTATCTGGCTCAGAAAAAGACCGAACTTTCTTTTCTGCAGAAAATCGTTTGCGGCTACCAATGCGAAGCACCTGATTACTCACTGAGGTGGGTTTGCTAGGTGGGACCTCGGAGACACCTGGAAGCGGAGGTGTGTCTTTCCGAGTGGGACCCTCAGTACCTGGATGCTCAAACAAGACTGGCTCAAGGTCTTTTCTCCTAAAGGATGTAGCCTGGAGGACTCTGGCCTGGGCTTCTTTCAGATGGTCTTTATAAGAGCTGGAAAAGCAGCCATCCGAGGAGGGAGAAGAAGTTCCAGTGGTCTTCCAGACAGCAGGATCTTCTACAGCTTCAACCGGACTTTCTAAAGTGGCTGCGCTTCGACTCTTTTGAAGCTGGGCTCTCCTCATCTGGATCTCGTTGCGCAAGGTGGTGGCAAATCGGTCACTTCGTCTTGCATGTTTGCCACTCTGACTGTCAAGGGCTTCCTGTTGTGCACTTCCACTGTTGATCTCCTCTTGACAGTCCTCCATGCCATTGTGCTCTTGGGCCAGAGAATAAAGCATAGGTGTTTTCTGGGGACATATCTTTGACTCGCTTTTAGTTGGAAAGGGTTGTTGTGAGTACTCTTTAAGATGGAGATGAACAGCACTTCTCCTGTGCTCGGGTTTCTTACTGGGGGGATAACTACCAGAATGCTCATCTGAGCTAGACACATGGTGTTGCTTTTGGCTCATCATTCTGCGATGATAGATGTCAATTTGTTTGAAGGAGGCATTATTGTCTTTATGATCTGTATCATGGTGCTGTGACTGAGGTGGGAAATAGCGGTCTTTTGCTCCTCCTTGTGAACCTATGGACATCCTGTCCTGTCCACTGTGTGACATTTCCGAGACTGAAGAAGCTTTAGAGTCATCAACTCTCACTAAAGAAGCCTGGGACATTCCCTGAGCGATATGATGAGAGGTAACTCCAACGTGACTGGACAGTGATGCAGCTGGCCTTCTAGTTTGATTGTGGCTATTGAGTTGCATGTGGTTGTTTGTGGACAGCTCCTGCATACTGCTAAAGTAGCCACTGAATGGAGGTTTCAGTGCTGGTATTGTCCTAGTTTGAGCGTGGAAAGTGCCCTCATCGCTGTACTGCCGTGGATGGTATGGAACATGGGCATAGGATTGATGTCTATCTCTGACATCTGTCGTTGATAGGGAGTATGTCTTGTCTGATGACATATGGTGTGGATACTGATGATGGGCATCGGATGAAATGTAGGGATTTGAGGAATCATTTTTGGATGGCAGGTTATAATCGCGTCGACCCTCAAGACCTGTCTCGTTGACTTGGTGAGACCTCTGCATGCTTTCATGAGTTTCTCCTGCCTTTTGCAATGCTTTTACCTGAGGCTTTAACTGGGCGTGAACACCAAGGCCCTCAGAGGAGCCTGTGATCAAACCCTTCTCATGTACCTTGGTAGCTGCAAAACTATCACTGCGTGTCGGTGGAGTGGGAGGTGGAGTGGAGGATACTATATTTTTCTTCACATCTGGGACATGCCAGACAGGTCCAACACTAACTCTTCCAGAGCTTGAATGCCGAGTGCCTGGCTGTTCTTCAGCTTTTGGGATCTCATGGCTAACTGAATTTGAGAGATGCTGCAAGTATCCAAGCCTCTCATCTTGTCGTACCCCATTGCTTAGGCTTTGGCTATGTCTGCCATTGCTGTGCCTGCCACTTGAGTCCCACTGATTAATTTTGTACAGCATGTTCTCAGTGGAAGCAGTGTTAATTTTGGACTGTGTGTAATCTGGGGTTCCTGAGCTTGTAGAAAAGGAGCTGTATGCAGAGTCTCGTTTACCACCACCCAAATGTTCAGTGCTGTTATTATTGGACTTGCTTGGGGAAAGACGACCAGGTGGACAGGGATGAGAGCTATGCTCTAGGCTGTCCATACTACCCAAAGAGCTGAACTGATCGGATACTCTCCGTAGATTTGTTTGCTCCCAGCCGGCTGAGAGTTCAGAAGAGAATGAACTAAGAAAAACAAACATTTAAAGAGTGTTTAGGCTGTATGAACAAATGCAACTGCAGTAAGCCATATGAAAAGCTTCTGCCATTCAATATATATATTCGAAAATGAAAAATAGAGTCCTTCATTCCTAAATCTTTACTGAAAGACGCAATATAGACAAAAACAAATTATTTGCTGTCTCACCAATTACCTTGCATCATTTCTTGTTTGCCAGACCGGTGAGGGTGTGGACTGGTTTTTGGCTTCTGAATGGCTCTCGTTGAACTTGGTGGCATGCCAGGAGTGAGGTCTGCTCATGGGTTCATTTCTCCTGTGGGCAGCAAACGGGAAAGAGAGAAGGATAGAGAAAGAGGTAGAGCAGAGGAGGAAAGATTAGAAAACAAGGCAATAAAATGTTGTTTTGTGAAAAGCTGCAAAACGAATGGCAAACACAGATCACCAAGCAGGACTACAACAATTCTGAAGGAAAGGAGAGTGTCAAAACACGGTAGATGATTATGGAAGAAGTGTAATGATCATGGCATGAGATAGAGAAGCAGCCTGTGAGCATGCCAATCTTGCAGTCATTCACTATCAACACAGAGTTTTTCAACCGTCAAGCACTAACAAAGGCAAAGCCTAACAAAAACCTACAAACACCAAATTAAATATCTGTAAACCACAAGTCCACACTCTCAACACTCATATAACAGCAACATACCCTTTAAATCGGTTCTTTCTGGGATGCATGAAGTGAAATAAACATAATATATAATTGTTACTGAAAGTGCCACAACAATTAAACAGAGCCTCTTAAAAGAAGTCACATACATTGTCCTTATGACATTATCAGCAGTTCAGTCCACACACACACACATATATATATATATATATATAAGACATGACTGATGCAACCTATACTTAAAACAATGAACTATTGAACAAGGTTCCCACACCTTCCAATAAATTTCCAAACTGGATAAGGATTTATAAAATGATTTTATTGAGACTGCACTCATACAGAGCAATTTCTAGCAAATAAATATTTTAGAAAATTTGAATTCATTATGAATTAAAAAATAATGACTGGAAATCAAGTTTTTCATGATTGTGGGAACCTTGATTAAGAAATGTAGAGGATATGCAGGGTGGAAACCTAATAGATGGAAATTTGAACTTCTGATGGATGATATCACAAGGCCATGGAGGGAATATGATTGTAGATCATTATGACTTGACTGGGTGGTAACAGGATTAGAAGTGAGTTTTCTTGTGGATACATTGATACCATACCTCATGGAACTTCGCAAAATCTTCGTGAGAAAGCTCCGGGCCATATGCACGTCGCTCTCTGATGGCATTTTCTGTGCTACAATATCCACCATTTTCATCTTCCTGAAGGGAGTTAAAAGGGGGAGGGACACATATAGTCGGAATCTCTGAGTTCAGTAAAGTTTGACAGGGACTCTAGTGCTGAATTCCAAATGGAGACAAGAAAAGCTACTAGCTAGCATGGGCCACAACACTGTCTGTAATTAGTCAAGCATTATATGCAAGAACACAAATATAGCCTTGCGTAAAAAACATAACCAATTCAGACAAAACAACCACAAAATGTTATACTGTATGAAAGATTACTGTATGAAAAATACACTGGAAAAACACAGACAGTCCACATAAATGAAACCTGTGTTTTTAATGGTTATGCCTATGAGTTCAGAAGCACATGCACGCAAAGACTTTAGCCATAAGTCCATTCAGATAAACAGTGCCAGCACTGAGGCAGGATTTATAAAGGACAAAATCTTAAAACGAAACAAAACAGTAGTCTCTCTCTCTCCTTATGCATATAACATACTGACCAGAGATCTGCAACTTACAACCGCTTAGTGTGAATAGTAGACATAGGGAGACATCTTGTGGTTGAGGTTTAACACTACCACTACATGTGACAAAATTTATGCCACAAAAAGAGAAAAAGTTAAAAAATAAAATATTTCAAACTCTTTCTAGGATCTGTGAATGTCATGTTTTAAGACTGCCTGCCACTTCTTTTACATCAACGAGTTTAGCACGAAACATTCCTCAGCATGTTGCTCAACATATCAAACTAAAGAGTCCACCCACACCTGACCTGTGACCTTTAAGTTTTGAGAGTCAAAACATTCCTGCCGTTTCTGAAATTCAGTCGTTTGGTTTAGTGATAGAATTGTAAAAACAGAAATCCATCTCCTTGAATTTCCAACAGTCTAAAACCCAAGCTTGTGCAAATCTCCATTAGACCGAAGGGGTTAGAACAACAGTCAAAGACATGCAGTGCTACTCCATTAGGCCATGAGGTCAAATGCCAGTCACCCTCTAGCCAGTAAACAGTAATAGACATTCTTTGAAATACTAGGAAAATAAAAACTATGCTAACCCAAATATCCTTGACTCCAAAACATTTGCTTAAAACACCATTGGCTACCAAAGCTGTTGTTGTCTAAAACAAGATGTACATGTAACGTCCTTGTCACAGGTTTAAAAGATGGCTGAAGAGATTAAACAGCAAATTATGGACAAAGTGGCCCAAAAGACACCCTTTGCTTTCGCTCAATGCTGCTCTCTTTTCCTGTGTAAAATTTTCAAGTGTGTATGTGCTCGCCACACATGGTGCTAGCTATTCAGATGCTAATTACATTCTCTCCATTAGACGTATTGTCAGGGCTACAGCTGGTCTAGTGCAGATATGCCAGTGGTCCGAATCAGTGGCGCCCAGGCGGAAAAGAGGCCAAGGAAGGGGGTTCAGAGGGGAAAGTCCCCCACCAAAGTTTTCAGAACAAGGCATGTTCAAAAACAAACAAATCACTTCTGAAAAGACAACAACCTATTCCAAAGCCTGATGCAAATCATTCAGCTTGGGTAAAGAGTTAACATCCAAATCTTATTCACAGGATGATCCAACATGAAAAAAAGGGTTCCAAAGACACCTACATGAAAGATTAGCAAGCTTTTGAAAGGGAAAAAAGCTACTGTTTACTAATATAAGTGTTAGGATCTGCTGCAGTGTTTGAAAACCATCAAAGGTTGATTTTGGTTTGCCAAGATAAATGCAACCGGTTTCATGAGGTCAAATTAACATCTATCACTATCTACTCGTTTACACATGGCCCGAGTCGTCTGAGGGGCAAGCTGCACCAAAGCTTAGATGTCACAAACAGTAAAATAAGACGAGACTAAACAGATGCCAAGATAAAAGCAAAGGAACAACAACAGGTGTGAGACAAAGACAGCAGACGAAAACAGACAGCAAAACGTAAACTTCTAAACTCACCAAACAATCCCTCAAGCAAGCAAGTTTGCCAAATAGGTCCCTAAAAGAGCAGACCTGAGACGCTTTGACAGATGAAATGGTACTGAGAGTTCGGGTTTGCTCCAGTGGACTCCCCAGGCAGCGCATTCCACATTCACATCAAAGACAGGCCAGGACAAAGGGCCCTCCATAGACGGCCAGTCCCGGACCGCAGCGTGAGTCTTTTCAACCATCCACTTCTTCCATATGAAAGACTACAGAAAAAGGTAGCCTTGAGGAGCCCCATGTAGAGAGCTGATCATACGAGCCTTAGCACATACACTCTCATATCGACTTCCAATGCCTGTGTGACTGTTGCAGTCAGGGCAGATCTCTTCAGGGATTATGGTGATTTTACCCCGGGAAGGAAGGGGGGAGGGAATGAGGAGGGGGCTATTGTCATAGCCAGTCTCCTTGAAGCAATCTAGCAACTTCTGTTTCCCTATTGGCTCAGGGATTGTATGCTAATGAGCAGTCGAGAGGGCCAAATTTTCTCACTGAACCCCTCTTGTGCAGCGGTCCTCTGTTTCTTCTATTACTATGGCAACAGGTTGATTTTTGCAGTCTTAAGTGCACTGGTTTGTGAAGTGGAGCGAAACCAAAGAAAAAGATAATAATAGAATACAATTTTAAAAGAAAGTCATTTTATTTTAAACCATGATCAGATGAGAAAAACATTTATTTCCATAAACTGATCAATCCAACACTGAATATTCAGTAGTGGCTCTGGACTACACAACACTAGAGTTTACTATTGAGGCGCCCTACTCACTGACGGCACTAGACGTCACCATGACCACTGACCTCAAGCCATAACCCTCCCAACCCCCGAAACGGATCATGTGACCAGTAGATCACTCCAGGTCTGACAAAAGCCATCTGGGTAAAACAAGTTTAGAGATCTCAAATAATCAACCTGTTCGCTTTGTAAACCAGATCTCTCAAGAGTGAAGCTTGGCTGTGATTGGAGCTTGACCTACAAAGTTTCGTGCTTAATTAAAACTTTTCTTGGCATCAAAACAAGTAGTCTGGTGACAGGCAAGAAGATTACCGAATTGTTTTGGCCTATGCCTGATGGGCGGGCTTTAACAAAATCTTTCACAATGATCTATTGTGAACCGAACTTCTCATCCGTGCATTCCAGACAGGAGGCCATTCCTAGGCACTAACGCTCTCATAAACATTGCATTTTTCTTGCTGCCTCAAAAAGGTAAAGCAGGCAAAAAGATTTGTAAGCTTGTACACATTTGTAAAGCTCTTATATTAGAGAGAAACCCCATTCTAAAACCATCCTGTCAGCTGTTGTTATTCAAAGAGACAAGAGTAAGTGTTTAAGGAGAGATATTCAGTGGAATGTCCAACAAGATCTTATCTGATCCATCTGGCTTTGCTCCATCTAATGGAAATCGCAATTTGTTCAATGTAATATTGAACAAAAAGGGATACTGCTAGAGTTTTGGCTGCATTGGAGTCAGTTATTCATCTGGCTGTGGAGTGTCTGCACAAAGCCCTTCTTCAGAACGCATCTCAATCAGCCTGCTAATACAGGGCCAGGAGAGGCCAACCGTGGGGTGCCTGTAATGACAGGTACATTCCTGAGCTGCATGTCATACCAGCCAAAGAACCAATAGCAGTCTAGTCCTCTGCTGGGTTCACAACTGCGTCTCTTTTGTTTGGATGTACAGTACTAAGACGTATCAGCATAAAGCATTTCTTAAAGGGTCATGAAACCTCAGACTACTTTTTCTGAGATTTTAGCAGAGGTGTTTGTGTTGCACATCATAGAAGACAATGTTAGCATCCGATAATTTTAACTGTTGGAGAAAACTGTTTTTTTTTTTGTGCTATTTTCATCTTCCGGGTTTGAAATCTACATCGTGTTGACGTCACAATTTGTGATGTGGCAATGGACTAGATAATTTTAACTGTTGGAGAAAACTGGTTAATTTTTTTGTGCTATTTTCATCTTCCGGGTTTGAAATCTACATCGTGTTGACGTCACAATTTGTGATGTGGCAATGGACTATAGTACATCGATAGTGCGTCGGTGTCTATTAAATTATTCATGTGACTGCATGTTCTTATCCTATGAGAAGATGCTTCGCTTAATTATTCACAAAAGCATGTGTTGATTTGCTATGACAGACATTTCAGACTGTGAGATGACCTCGTGCACATTAACTGAGCGAAACGTTCATGGATCGAAGAGGAGTGTTTGTTTTTGCTTTGTAATAAGAGTTCGGCACAAACGCGATTCATTCACTTGGTGAGCATAACCATTTTTACAGCTCTGTGACACAACCCGTCAAAAGGCTTATATACACGCCACAGAATATGCCTTAAAAGTTCTCAGAGGTGCAGCAGCACGTTCATATATATGTTTTCGATGCAGAGTGCAAATGGCTGTGCATTTATTTATGTTTTTAACTTGATGGGAGCAAAATTAAACTGTCTGAACGCGAAGCTGTGTGTGTTGTCTGTCTCCCCTCTTCCCCCTCCTCCGCTCCGCTGCGCACCACGCCCACTTTTTTAACGGTTTTTTTAAAACTGTGGTGAGAACTAACCAGCGGGCCTGGACTGGCCATCGGGAGCACCGGGAGAATTCCCGGTTGCCTGGCGGCTGATTTGGCCCGCTGCCCAGTTTTTTTTTTTTTTGTTATTATTATTAGCGATATTGGGGAAAATTAAGAATAGGGAAAGGGAACTGAAGGTGCAGTGCAAGAGAGAACCTTTTATAGACAATGTTAGCATCCGATAATTTTAACTGTTGGAGAAAACTGTTTTTTTTTTTGTGCTATTTTCATCTTCCGGGTTTGAAATCTACATCGTGTTGACGTCACAATTTGTGATGTGGCAATGGACTATAGTACATCGATAGTGCGTCGGTGTCTATTAAATTATTCATGTGACTGCATGTTCTTATCCTATGAGAAGACGCTTCGCTTAATTATTCACAAAAGCATGTGTTGATTTGCTATGACAGACATTTCAGACTGTGAGATGACCTCGTGCACATTAACTGAGCGAAACGTTCATGGATCGAAGAGGAGTGTTTGTTTTTGCT